GCGGGAACGTGACCTGGAGTGAATACGTGGCCCGTAATGTCCGAGTGAGTGTGGGCACAAAGAGATGTATTGGACGGGAGCTGTGGTGAGAAAGGGAGATAAGTGGGACCGCCGACATTGTGATAGGGTGCGGCATTACCTGTGGCATAGGGTGAAACAATGTGTCTCCCATGGGCAGGAGCGAAGAGAGAGTTATAAACACGTAAATACGCAGGGGTATACGCATAGTAATAGGCAGCAGTGTAGACCGAGGTATGGGCAGCACCATAGGGAAAGGAATGGGCAAGATAAGAGGTGCCAGCTGGTGGGGTTGATCTCCGGTTATCAAGAGGTGAACGATCTCGTACTATTGAGTACGGAGAATGCGACATTTCGGAGCTCCTTGCACCAACTTGGAACACTGCACCTGCAGAAACGAGGGTAGATTTTCTCACCGCCCGGGTCAGTTTGTAGCTAAATAGTCAGTCTCAGAAAACGCCGTATTGCCAACAATCTTTAACTTTTCCGGAGACGAATCCAACAGCAAGATCCTTGGCGAGATACTTTGGATTTAATTAACTCGTCCGCAAATAGTATGAAAAATTTCAACATTCAACCATTTTTAATTTTCACACACGTGAACTTCACCTCACACGTGGAGTAAATGCAAATAGCAATAAAACAATGCTAAAAATACTTACGAGTTTTTCAAAGAAATTATTAGCATCAATTATTATATTTAGTGAATACAAGTCATCATCTGTGAATTTCTTTTTGATCGATCCCACATCAGGTATTAAAATATTTTTTCAAGCGGAAGTATCGTGGAATACCTATATTTGACAAATATAAAGATTAGGAACCAAATTTCTCTGATAATCTGGTAATCAAAGCCTCTTTGTCACTAGATTAATTAAAACAGCAATCTTATCTTTTAATTTACAACCGGACCATTGGCACTTTTATTCTTTGATCCAAGTTGATAATAAAACGAATGTGCGACTATTTGGTTTCTTACTTTCTGAAAAAAATTAAAACTTTATAAATTTTGAGACTAGCAGCTTCTGTGAAAGTATCATTCACGAAAAATGTTGCACACGTTCACGTAATTATTCCACATTAGTTCACACTGACTATTAAAGTACAATTAAAACACCAGCGCAGAAACGATTTCTTGATTACTGCGTACCAACGTCTGACAATTTTTGTTAATCTTACAAAAGACCTTTGGAGTCGTGGCGATGGAGAGGTGTCTTCATGGAGCGTCGTTGGAAAAAGGAACTGAGCAGATGTGAAGCGATCTTGTCTTCTTCCTTATTATTGTTAACCTGAAATAAAAATTTCATTAACACACATTCAATTTTAGTTCCTGAAAATTTATTCAGAAATCAATGGTTTAATTTTTTTAAGGTAAACTCACGAGTGGGCTGCTCTTTACCCCATGTCACCATTTTAAAATTTGTCGAATACTCCGTTCACTCATCCAATTATCCTTTACAAAACAATTAGAACGTATTTATGTACGGTCTACTTTCGGAATTAACTGCACCTGAAATGCACAATATTTATTTTCTTGGAATATTATGGTGTCGTGCCTATGGATAATCCATAAATTATGAAACACTGTAGCGGAAGGAGGTGGTTTGACACTGCATTACGCTGCCTTACACATGTGGCTAGGAAAGATAGGCATTATGCTGATATTTTAAAATTTTTTTCAACATATGCTCGAATAATTATTTTTTTCTGTTTATAGTAAGAGTATAAAATTAATATTTAATAAACATTACATATTAAATTTAAAATATATAAATGAGTTAAAAAGTTATTATGCATAAAGTATTACAATAAATGGAAATATTTTTTCGACGTGACTGGATTAAGCCAGTTAGATTACAAACAAAGTATTCAAATATTATCTCCAGCACATTCTAGAATCCCATTAAATTGGCACAGTACACTCAGGCTCTTGTGCCGTGTACAACGGTCTGTACAGGGCTTGTCTGAAATTTTCTTACCAAGCCTCCTTCCTTTATTAAAAAAATGTATTGATGGTTACAGTCCGTGTTGCCAATAAATTCTGTATAATGATAATATAAAACACTCCTAAAATAAACAACTCCTTACTATCACAATTTACTTTTATTTATTGCAAATGTGGAAGGGTCTTGTCGCAGGCGCGAATTGCTTAGAATGGTCATTTGTGCGAAACAGGTGTCACAGCGGGGCAGAGAGGTTTAAAATGCTACAAATTTGCGTTAGGTAACTGAAGAGTTGCCGTGGAAAAATATGTAGTTTTCAAAATATCCCAAATCGTGAGTGTGCATCGAAAGCGATGAGTTTCATTTTCAAACGTTTTAAAAAGAACGTATGTCGCAGAGACCCCGGTTTTAGCTCGCACTTACATTACAAAATATATTCGGCAGTAACTCCTTCGCAGTTGGCAATGAAAGGGTACAAGTGCCTATGTGCATGTGGCGACAAGCTATATGTGCATGTGGAGTGAAAGTGTTGCAGACTGTAGAGGCAATGAAAACGATCCGGGAGTTCTATGCTAAGCCATACTAACATAGGTAACTTTTTCTCTCTTCCTAATTGACTGGTGAGCTTTATATGTAGTTGAAGTGCACTTTTATACACATTTTGACATTCTTGTTCAACTATTTTGTGATATATGTAAGAACATATTATTGAATGACCATATGAGTGACGTTTACAAAATTGATAGGTCAAATACCTCCAGTAATGTTTAAAAATTCAATATCGAAGAAACCGTACTCAAATGTGTTTGTGTATTATTTAAACTTTCTTTACATTATCAATTAAAGCGGTTGATTGGTTCCTGAGAAAAAGTTACTTACGTAGCAAAACATGTACCTTGTGAAAAAAGAAGAAAAACAAGAAATTTAGTTCCCATCTTTCGTTACATTCAATTGATACATTGTTACACTGTTCATGGCAACACACACAACAATACATATAAAACTTATTACTAAAAAAACCCTACCGTGACAGGATTCAACATTTTTATAACAAACTGAAAACGCAGCATTATGAAAGCTCGTCCCGCTGTCCAAGAGACACGATCATCCGGACTCTTCAATTTTTAAAAATTTCAAAAACAATATTTTCAAAGCTAAAACAAGCAACATTGAAACACATAAAAACTTCCAAGTCCCCTTCTCTTGTTATTTTCAATTGTTACATAGTTACCACAAGAAATATAAATATCACTACTCAAAAACTCCCTGCCTACAAACTGAAAACGCAGAACGGTAAGGTGACAGCTCGTTAGGGTAAGGAACAGGAACGTTCAGAGTCTCTTGAACGTTGAGACTCTCATAT